TCGATCAGCTACCTCCTGCACACTCCTTACTGGGGATGTGCCCGCAACCAAGGTACATGCCCTTGATCGGAATCGAACCTGGGACCCTTGAGTCTGTAGGCCGACGCTCTATCCACTGAGCCAAACTGGCTAGGGCTTTAGCATAATTTTAAATAAAAATTCTGGAATCAGAAAAAAAAATAAAGTGTTTGCATGGTGAGAAAAGGAAAATTCATCTTGTTCTTGGGGTGAAGGAAAAAGGAATTAAAATTTCTTTTTCAATTTTCCATTACCACTTCTTTCATTATTTTTCCACATTTTATACTATGTTTATTTATCCCACTAAAGAGCAGAAATTATCCCCAAAGTAGATTTTTAAATTTTTATTGTTGAAAGTATTACAGATGTCTGGTTTTCTTCCCCCATTGACCCCTTCCCCCCATACCCTCCCTCTCCCCAGGCCTTCACCACACTATTGTCTGTGTGCATGGGTTATCTTCACACCCTCCCTTCCCTTATCCCCAAAGGAGTTTGATCCATAATCATTAAAGTTGTAAAACTTATTGTGACTGATCATGTTTACCTTGTTTAGCTAAGTAAAAATCAAGGAATCTCCCTCTAGATAGATTCTATATTTTATTACATTTGCAAAATGCTAAAGCAGTTATGTCATCCTCAATTCTCAAAATAAATTTTATTATCTTTGAGACTATCAGATTTCCTGTTTGTTACAAAAACAGGTAAGCAATCTTAAATAGTGACCTAAATGTTCCCTATTTACTAGTAACCATTGTTGGTGGTTCTCCAGCTTATTTCTCTTAATTTTTTTTAATACTCACCCAAGGATTTTTAAAAATATATATATTTTATTGATTTTTTACAGAGAGGAAGGGAGAGGGATAGAGAGCTAGAAACATCAAACAGAGAAACATCGATCAGTTGCCTCCTGCACACCCCCTACTGGGGATGTGCCCGCAACCAAGGTACATGCCCTTGACTGTAATTGAACCTGGGACCTTTCAGTCCGAAGGCCGACGCTCTATCCACTGAGCCAAACCGGTTAGGGCCGAGGATATTTTTTTCCATTGATTTGTAGGGAGTGTGGAAGGGAGGGAGGAGAGGGGGAGGCAGAGAGAGAAACATCGACATGAGAGACATATCGATTGGATGCCTCCCACAGTGTCCCCACTGGGGTTGGGGAACCTGTAATGAGGTACGGACCCTTGTCCCAGAATCAAACCTCTGACCCTTCTTACGCTCTAACCACTGGGAAAAACGGGCCAAGGCTATTTCTCTTAATCTTGACCAACTCCAAGAGGAGGGAAGGAACAGAGAAGATGAAGATAATCTGGGTGCTCCCAGCTATTTCTCTCAGAAGAAATAATATTCAAGTCTTTGAAGAAGTAACTGAAATCTCTTTTACTTTTGCTTGCCCAATATCAACAACTTTGCAGTGGCCTATGCAAAACAACTGTCCATGTAAGGGACCTTTAGATTTTCTTAGCAAAGAATATTACGTAAGAGGTGCATTCAATCAGAGGTTCAGGGGTGGGGAAACTTTTTTTCTGCCAAGGGCCATTTGATTTATAACATCCTTCGCTAAATATAACTCACTTAATATAAATTCATGTTGCTATGAAAAAAGCTCCTAGATTTATTTAATTTCAAGTCCCACCTGCAGTTGCCTTGGCAGGGCCAGACCAAATGATTTTGTGGGCTGGGCTGGACGTCCCCCACCTCGGGTGAGATAGTCCAGCTGAAGGGAGTAGGGCTGGATTGGCTGACCCACAGTGGCCTAAATTGACACTCACAGAAGAGCATAGTGTAGAAAAAGGGAGCAAACACAAGACAATGTTCTAATTTTCCATTTACTGAGAGATTAATTTTTTAAATAAATATATATTTATTGATTTAAGAGAGGAAGGGAGAAGGAGGGAGAGATAGAAACATCAATGATGAGAATCATCCATAGGCAGCCTCCTGCAACCCTACCGGGGATTGAGCCTACAACCCAGGCATGTGCCCCAACCAGAAATCAAACCGTGACCTCTGGTTCATAGGTGAACGTTCAACCACTGAGCCACACCAGCTGGGTGAGAGATTAATTTTTGAAATGTAACTCTGAAGTCCCCAAGAGTGATTAGAATTGTTCTCCTATGTCCCATTCCAACTTAAACTTTACATTAATTGTATTTCATTAGGTTCTTGGCAGCTACTTTTTACTAGCATAGTCATCTATTAGCATGAACATAAAGAAGAGTAGTCCTCCCCCAACTCTGGAGGTAGAGTCCAGTTTTTTCCTTAAAGTAGTGCTTGTAACTTGAGTTCTTTTGCCCTGTAGAAAAAGTTCATTGTTGGAACAAATAATTTTATTTTATTTTATTTTTTTAAAAATATATTTTATTGATTTTTTACAGAGAGGGAGAGAGATAGTTAGAAACATCGATGAGAGAGAAACATCGATCAGCTGCCTCCTGCACACCCCCTACTGGGGATGTGCCCGCAACCAAGGTACATGCCCTTGACTGGAATCGAACCTGGGACCCTTCAGTCCGCAGGCTGATGCTCTATCCACCAAGCCAAACCAGCTAGGGCAATAATTTTATTTTTTATATAAGATTTATAGAGAGCTTTTGGAACTAAAGAAAAAAAAAGGTAAAAAAAACCCCACCTAGCATGAGTCCACTGGCCAATTTTAGGTGAAGAGCTTATAATTTGTCTGATGGAAAGTTACTCAGTCCAATAAATAATACTAATACTAATTGATATGTCATTCTTTCAAGTACATCAACATTAACTAAATAGGCTTTTGTTGTCCCAGAGGTAAACAAGGTCACTAAACCCAGCCATACAGTGTTACTTGTTTATCCTAAATAACAATGATTCATGCCTCCCTACCTTTGAACATACTGCTCTCTTTCCTGGAAGGCCTTCTCCTCCCTTCCTAATCTACCTATTACTTGTCCTCTATCAAATACTTGATTATTCAAACCCCAAACCCTCATTTTTTTCTCTTACATAAACATGTCTTACAGAAGTTCTATTGATCAGGTTATAGCCTAAAGAAATTGACTTCAGTTTCTTTGAGCAAACTAGACCTTTTCTTTTTTTTTTGGTATTTTCACTGAACTGCTATGATCTTGGTCAAGCCACTTCATTTAGTGGATATTGAAGGCACTGCACTAAGCCCAGACGAATTTATAATCCAAGGAAGAAGACAATGATAAGTAATTTACCCCTTACAGGAAATGCACAGTACATTTTCGGGCAATGTGAGATATATGCATCAGACTATGTACAGCATCCTAGAAATCAGGGAAGAAGTTACAGTTGACAGTGTCGAGTGAACCTCAATCGATGATGCTGTTGAATCAGGGAAGATGCAGGGGAGACAGAAGTGGTATTAGACCTGGATTTTTTTTTTAAATATGTTTTTATTGCTTTCAGAGAGGAAGGGAGAGACAGAAATGTCAAGGATGAGAGAGAATCATTGATTGGCTGCCTCCTGCACGCCGCCTACTGGGGATCTAGCCCACAATCTGGGCATGTGCCCTTGACTGGAACTGAACACAGTCAAGGCTGACGCTCTATCTATTGAGCCAAACCGGCCAGAGCTAGACCTGGATTCTTAACAATGACTAGGAGACTGATGTATACCTGGAGGTGATGTTAAAAATAACCAGAGTCTGACAGTAGTTAAAGCTGTAAAAATTGTATTTCATTAGGTTCTTGGCAGATACTTTTTACTAGCATAGTCATCTATTAGCATGAACATAAAGAGGAGTAGTCCTCCCACAACTCTGGAGGTAAAAACAGATTTTATTCAGAAACTTAGGGGAAAAGAACCCTCAGTATAGAACTGGTCTCAATTGTCCTATTGCAATAGTTTCTGATAAAAATTTTTTACAGTTTTAACAATTGTTTGGTTCTGGTTTTCTTCAAGGAGGGAGAGGGGAATGATTCCAGGTATTTCAGAGAGAGGCAAAAGAATGAACAGATGCAAAAAGGAGTAGAGCAACTTAGGGAAAAAGTAAGTAGTAATCCGAAGAAAGCTGAGTGGTCAAGGGAAAGAGGCATTCTCTGCAGCCAGAGCCTCTAGACTACTGTTGAGGAAGTGCCGAAGATGAGGGAAAGGAGGCTTCTTTCAGTAGATAGTGGAACGGTTTGGTGATAACTAGAAAATGAAGTGTTTTTCTGTTTATTCATGGGAGCACAAAGGGGAAAAGTAAGTTTGAACAAGATTACTTGGAAAGTTATGCCAAGAAGTTTGAACTTTATTCCGTGGAGCCCACTGGGACTTTGATGAAATAACTTTTTTTATGAAGGTGCTTTGGTCTCCGCAGAAAATAGGCTGGAATGGCATGAAGCATCCTTTCTCTTGGCCTTGGTTTACTCATTTATACTAAGAAAAGACACGGTCCATTTGCCGTCTTAGGTCCCTTCCAACTTGACAGCCAGGTTCCCTGACTTCTCCCATTACCTGGGCCCTGTGCTCCACTCCCTTCTCGTCTTGGTGCAGGTGTCACCTCCATCCTCCTTCCATTCTTAGGTGCTTTTCAGGCGAGTGTGCAGGCAGGTGTGCGGGGGCACGTCTCTGGAGTAAAATAAGCTCTCCTCCTCTGAGGCCCCTCATCCCAGGCAGCAGCACGTGGAGAGAAGTTGCCAGTCGCTTTTCTGCCCTGGTCTCTAGGGGTGGCTGGCCGACCCACCCCGGGCCACGCCACGCCATCTGGGAGGACAGCGGGAGTCCGCCCCTCGCGCGTCCCTGGTTCCCTGCCGGACCAAAGGCTGTGAGCTCCGCGGCCACCAAGCTCCACCGCGACCCTCCGGAGGCTGGGCTCCCAACCTACCGGCTTCCACGGACGCCGCGGGCCTGCGGGCCCACAGCCAAAGAGCCTGCGAGGGCATAGGGGCAGCTCCACCCGGGAGCTTGCCGGGGCGCCCGGCGTCGGTGTCACGTGAGGCAGCCTGGCCACGTGACCCGGAGCCCCCGCCCCGCCCCGCGCCCCGCTTCCGCGCCCCCCAGGCGGCCCTCGGCAGTGAGTCTCCTGCAGCCAAGCTTCCGAGGTTCCCGCGGCGCTCCCGGCGGCTGGGCCCGGCGGACAGCGAGCGGCAGCGGCTGGCCTCCAGGTAGCGGGTGAGTCGCGGGCCGAGCTCGCAGAGGCCGCCCTCGCCCCTCCCCTTCTCTGCCGCGTTCCCCGCCGCCGGCCGGGCCGCGTGCCCCGTTACTCCCGCTCTCTCCCTTCTCCCCTCCGGCAGCGGGTTCCGGCCCGCGGGTCCGCACTGTCAGCACCTCCGCTAGCATTTCTTCCAGGTGGAGGAAAGGGGTGCGGTTAGGGAAAGTTTTCCTTGCGCCCTCTCTTTTTTGAGCTGCAGGGACGCGGTTTTGCTCCTAGTTGGAGGCTGTCGCAGCTCTGACAGACACCCGCCTCGACCCTCCGCGTCCCCCTTCGGCCCTTGCTCTCTAGAATCTAGTCTCCATCTGAGCATCTCCGCCTCCGCAGGGGAGGGTAGTGGTGTCACGGAGCATATTCTTCACTTTTTCCCATCCCCCACAACACGGACTCCACGAAGGGCCGTTCACACAGTAGGGACCTTTATCCAGGCGTGCGGTTAGCTGAGTGAAATGACATTTCTCTGGTCCTGCCTCAAATGAACTACCTGTTCTATCGAAGGGAGGCACGCTCAGTTCTGCTTTCGGAAGTGGCCTTTTGTTGATATTTATTTGCACGTGAGACACTCCGAAGTCATCTGCTGCAGAACTTTCTGCAATTGGGGTTTACAATTTTGTAAGTCAATATTGTAATAATGCTTGAAAAACCTAGATTCGTTGTCTTATTTGTCTTTGGCCTATTCTTTTTGGGGAGAGAATTATAGCCTTTGGAGGCAAAAACTGAGTTTCTGAAACTGGTGTGCATTGTGGGATCATAGCATCAAAACATCCAGGTAAATAATGCTGAAAGGAATGGAAAAATGATTCAACCCTGACGGTAGTTTACAGTGTGCTTTAAACTTCAGTAAGTAGCCATTCGAAGTGAGCACTGGCTAAATTTCACCTCTTTGAACTTCTCTCGGGTTGAGTATGTAACTGTATATTTAGATTCTATTAATATAGCAGTTAATCTAGGGCCCAGATATCTTTTAATCCATTGTGTGAATACCAGTCTATTTATTAATACTTTTAGACAGTCTACCCTCTAGTCTCTTTCTCTTAAAGAGGAAGGATATTAGTCATTAAAAAGATTTCCGCCGTGATTGAGTGTGATCCAAGTGATCCATTTCTGAGAGCTTCAGAAAACAGCCACAAAAACCAAAGCTATCAAGTTTTAAGCTTAATTTAAAAAATTTTGTATTTTTAAATTAAAGAGTGCCTGCACGTTCCAGCACGAGCTTGGCTCCATCTTAATAATCAGCAGCTCAAGCTGGAAAGCCTGAGACAGTGTTCTCCTTTAACTGAAAGTCAGTGTGGTGATAAAACTGAAGGGAAGTCAAAGACCTTTATTATTATTATACTATTACTTCTGTGTGTACTACATTCAATGTCATCCATGGAAACAAGCTTTGGGCCCTCAAGGAGTCTAGAGTCTAGGCTGGACATTAGAACACACTTTTAAGGTACTCTATGGTTTAAAAAAAATCTAAAAGTGTTTCATATTGTGAATGTGTTGAGGAATTCACAGGAGACACGTGATGACTATTGTCTGCATTTAACCAGAATAGACTTCCTTGAGGAGGTCAGTTAATCAAATAATTATCTAAATCAATTATGTAGTTGATCTACTGTATGAACTTAATTTTTAAAAATTTCCAAGTACATTAAGTCCACAATATAGACTTATTTCTTTTTATTTTTGGAAAGAAAAAAATAAAATTTAGAAAATATGAAGCAGAAAGAAGAATGTACTTACCTGTGATTATACTATCTAAAAATAACAACAGTTAACATTTTGGAGTATAAGTCCTTTTTACTATGCATATTTAATGGGCTGCCATATTCAGATAGTGAGATTTCAGATTATAAGAGATACTGTGATATCCAAACCTAACTTATTCCTGAGTCTAGGAGAGCCAATAGCAGAAGTTTGAGTATTGAAGAACTTAGCCAGATCTCTTTGATTCTTGAGTTTTGATAGAGTTTGGATAGCAAGAGTTCAAATAGCTGGAGATACTTCTATATCTTTTTTAGTGTTATATATACTTTTAAAAATGAGATCATATTCATGTACACATAATAATTAAAAAGTGTTAAATCACTTCTGGAGATGAGGAATCCCTTCCAGGGAGACTATACTCAGGCCACTCTCGCAGGGTAGCATCTGTCTTTCCCACAATCCCCCAAAAGGTTTCTCAGATTAGCAGGGGGGAAATCTTTGCTGAGATATGCTTTTCAGTGCTTAAGGAAAAATTCTAGTTTTGGAAATAGACAAAGCCTATCCTCTCTCTAGTGCAGTGGTTCTCAACCTTGGCTGCACATTAGAATCACCTGGGAATCTTTTTAAAATCCTGATTTCTGGGCCTCATCCTCTAGAAATTCTGTTTCTTTGTTATGGATTGGGGCCACAACATTAGTAACAAAGAAACAGAATTTCCAGAGGATGAGGCCCGGAAATCAGGAGTTTAAAAAGATTCCCAGGTGATTCAATGGGG